CACACCCAGGTGGTTTGACATCGGAATCTTCTTAACTGTGATACTATCGTTATTTCTTCATGGCCTGTCTTAATATTTAAAAAGTAAGGTTTGGGCTCATTTAAGACTCTGTAAGTAGTTAACTCATAACCACACTTCAGAAGCTAGTCAGATATAACACTAAATTCTGCTTTTAAGATGGAAAGCAGAACTGTGTTATAAATCGAAAAGAATCCTTTGAGTATGGAAAAGTTCCCCCCACCCACCTCCCCAGCAGTGCTCAGACCTTTGATGCTTGGGGAGGTGGTGCTGCCTGGGCCCTCGGTGCCCACAGGACCCCCCAGATGGGGAACCCTGTCCTGCAGGCCCACCTGTGCACAGCGGAGTCTGTCTTGCGCTTGCCTTCCTGTGACTGGTTTGTCTGCTGAGGGGGAAGAATCAGTTCTCATCGCCGCCTTGCCTCTCCGTAGTGAGGACTTGGTCTGCTTGACCAAGTTGCGAATGAATTGATTAAATAATTAATTGCTGATATTGTGAATCGATCCCGGAACAGCTTGCTTAGCTTCTCAGTTGCACTCAAATATTCCAGTCAACACTCAAATTGTGACTTCTTAGTGATATTTGCAAGAGGTCTTGGATTTTGATTAAGGGTTTATTTTTTTTAAATCACTATTAATCTTCCAACTCACCCTTACTTGGGGATCCCACAGTCTGGTCCATTAGACATGACTAATAGGCTTGGGGTTTCCCCTTAAGCTATGTTTGGAGAGTTCAGCTGTCAGACTGATGGCAGAATCTTGCCCAGCCTTTGCTCAGGGCTCCAGACTTCCCTCAGAGACCCACTTCGAAAGCCCACCTGTGTATCGCCCACACGGCCTTTTCTCAGCACATCTGGCCTGCTGAATTCCTGGGACTGGTTCTTTGTGGCTCGTAGCTGCGGGTCCAGCTGTTGAACTGCTAATCAGGCTGTTGGCTTTTCTTCAGTGGTAGCGTTGTATAGTGACAGAGATGGTGTGGCCTGCACGGCCAGAAGGATTTACTGTCTCTCTCACTCCACAAGATGTTTGCCAACCCCGAGGTTAGTGGGTTTTGAAGAAGCCTGCAACTTGACCAGTTCTGAGCATAACATGGCTTGTTGTCTTGCGTTGGAATGTGTGGGTTGTTTGAGTGGTACTGTTCAAAGTGTACCTGTCCTGGCATCTAGAAACTGGGGCATGAAATTGAATGGCAGTTAGAAAAAGAAGAAAATAGACTTTATGTCATAATGAACCTGCTCTCGATGAAAACAAATGTTGGAATTTTGTTTTCATTTTTGAGCTACCTGGGGGATGCTCAGGGCTTGCTCCTGGCTTTGCTTGGGGACTGTGTGGGGTGCCTGGGATTGAACCCAAGACAGCCTCGAGCAGGGCAAATGCCTTCCCCACTATGTACTGTGTCTGGCCCCAGCAGAGAAATTTCTTCTAACTAGAGCATTAGAATTCTCAGCAGAAGCACCCAATTCCCTGATACCTTAGGGGAAAAGTGTGTTTGATTTAATTCAAAGTAAAAGCTTCGTAAAAAAAGAATGTAAATCTCATGATTATGTTTCATGCAATTCTGAATTTTTTTTTGTTTTCAGTCAGAAAGTATATTTTGTCTTGCTCTCATCCTCTTTATCTTATTTTCAAATTAAAGAATAGCCCCTTCAGTTAGCGCCGGGCTCCTAATCCCTGGGGCCTCTGAGTACTTTGGATTTCTCTTGTCATCAGAATGCTGTTTCTGACTCCTGTGTACAGTTTTCTTGAGGAGATCAACCCTCGAGTAGACAAGAGATGGACTTGTGAGCGCGACAGTGTCCCCGCGATGGCTCTGAAGCTTTTGCTGACCCACTGGTTGTTTGAACTCTGTGCCCTGTCTGATAGTTCACTGTGACTAAAGCTGAGAGCATGCTTCTCAAAATTATGAGAGGCACAGAAAGCTTAAATGTTCAGAAATGTCCCCGAAACATCTAGAGTGTTAGTACGTAAAAAAAAAAAAAAAAAGCAAATACTCAATGAAATCTCGCATCTTGATGTTTTATGTGTCTCTGCTAGGACTCTATTACAGTGCATATAAGGAGCACCAAGGGACCTATTGATGTTTATTTATGTGAAGTGGAGCAGGATCACTCAAATAATAAAACATCAGAAGGTGCAAAGGCCTCCTCTTCTAAAAGCAAACACCCAGAACAGCCAGGTAAAGGTAAACATGCCAGATTTGTTTTAGGAAAATGTAAGATTCTAATGATACAGATATATATATATATGCATATATGATATATACTTTTACTCATTTTTAACATCACTATTTTTATTACTGTTCTACCCAGGAGAAGAAGTTTTTGTTTTTGTTTTTGTTTTTCAATTAAGGTACTTGGGCTGGAGCAATTGTACAGCAGGTAGGGCACTTGCCTGGCATGTTGCCAATCCAGTTCCAGACCCAGCATCCCATATGGCCCCTTGAGCACTGCCAGGAGTATGACCTGAGCACTGCTGGATGTAGCTCAAAAACAAAACAAAAATTTAAATCAAGGTACTTTGTACTATAGTTTAAGATGTTTCTTACAGGGGCTGGAGCAGTAGTACAGGAGGTAAGAGCATTTGCCTTGCCCGCGGCCCACCTGGGTTCAATACCCAGCATCCCATATGGTCCCCCGAGTATCACCGGGTGTGACCCAAAAAGCAAAAAATAAATAACTTTACAGTTAAAAGTCCATGTCGTTTTGATATCAGTGGGAACTTAGTGTTTTAGCTGTGGCTGGTTCTGAACTTTGCATGGGGAAGGTGGGCTGTTGTCTCTGAGCTGTGTTCCTGCTAGATCTTTTGAATTCCAGTTTTGTTATGAGGCTTAAAACAGTAGCCTCAAACCACTGAAAATAAGAATATGCTTCCCGACCAGGGATCTTCTTTTTTTTTTTTTTTTGGAGCACTAGAAACGTATTTTTTCTTGTATCTGCCTTTCAGGTCCCCCACTTAAGAGAATTTCTCTCATTTTATTTTTTTTTTTTTCCAGAAGAAAATCCCCCACAGCAAAGTGAAGAGTTGCTTGAAGTGAGCACCTGATCACGATTCAGAATTCCTGTCTTGGGTTTTCTTTGGATGCCCTTCATGGATGAATTATGCGTCAGATTTCATTCTAGGAGCAATAACTCATCCGTGCCATTTCCTCGCTCTCAGTTAGCCGCAGTGTCGAGGCCAGTGGTAGCTTTGAGTGGCTCGCTGCTTAGATGACGGGATAATTATGGTTCCCACAATTGAAAACGAACTCTTGTGTGCCTGTTCACTGCTTTCTGTCTGTGAACCGGACCTTTAGCCTGCTGAAATAACTGCATCACAGAGTATCACTAAAGTAGACAGTTCTTCTTGGACCCGACCCTTTCCCTGGAAGATCATGTGTCATTATCACAAGAGAAATTGCCTTATACAGGCTCCTGCCTGGCATCCGTGACTGTGATTGGTGGCTGAACGCGTGCAGCTCGATGTGATGTCTTTGTATATATCTGTATAATGTCTAGATTGCTTAAGAGACATCTAATTGAAGCTTCACCATTGTATAGCCAAAATAATGTATATAAGGAGAGTAAGAAATTCTCTAATTTCTGTGGTATCTATAACTTATTAGAATCCTCTGCAGGAGGGTTAGAGGAGAATTTTTCCCCCCAGACTTCTACATGTAGAAGGATCTTAGCTGCGTCCTACATCCAGCGTCCGTGGACTAAATCAGGATGGTTCCCAGTGCTCACATTAGATTTCAGGCTTTCTGCAGTTACTGTTTCCAAGCAGACTGGTGGCCTGCCTCAAGGGGGCAGATACAGAAATGTCATCAGGGAATGACTTCATTCATTGAAAGACGTGGATTCAGTCACGGTGGAAAATGGAAGCTATTTTTATCTTTTTGCAAGCAGATTTTGTAAACATGTTTCTGTATGCAGCCTTTGCTTTCTGAATGGGGTTTACTCTTAATACCCGGCCCTCTCTCCAGCTCTAGCCCCGCATTTCCCAGTACCTGGCTCTCTCTACCTCATTGGGTAAGTCATTTACCACTCTGTGCCTCAGTTTACTCAGTAGTTTACCATTAGACTGTGAGCTCCTTGAGAGACTGTGTCTTAATCATTGTTATACCCAGCGCCTTGCACCATGCCTGGCACGTTGAGAAGTGCTCAATAAATGTTGAAACAAACCAGTGAGTGAGCGAGTGGATTGTAAAATTAAGTCGCTCACACTTAACCTGCCTCCCCCATCGGTTTCTTGCGGCTATCATTCAGATCCACATTGCAGACCTCTCTTACTCTCAAAGAACACTTCGAAGCAACTTGAAATGAGGTATTAAGGGATTAAAGCACACAACACACACAACACACACACACACACTAATCCTGGGAGGATTGACAACAAAAAAATAAAATGGGTCAAAATCTAAATTTTGAAAAGGGTCTTACTGGCAGCTGCTGACATACATGCTCTGTGTCATGAGCCTTGGGGTCTCCGTCCAGGTCCTGCTGTTGCATAGGATGCCGCAACAGCTCGGTGGTCGGCAGGGCACAGCATTGGATGAGGAGTGGGGCAGCCCGGCTGTGTAGATAAGGTGGAAAGAGGGCAGAGAATTGCTGGGAGGTGCTTCACGGCCCAGTGCAGGTCGCTGACCAGGTGGTGGAGAGTAGGTTCTGAGTGGAGTGTCCTCAGTCTGGTGTGAAGGCGACTCACCTGGCGAGAGGGGGAGGGCTGGGAGAAACACCTGCCTTTTTAGTTTTCTTCCCTGTCTTTGTATTTTAAAGGGAAATACAGAAGAAAATGTCTTCGTGGGAACGCGGGGGGCAGTGGAAGGAGGCAGTGATGTCGGTGGGCCCCACGGGTGACTTATGTGAAGTGGGGAGGAGAAAGACGGTCACTTTCTCCCTGTCTCCCTCTGCCACCTGGGACCCAGGGTTACTGGGTTCTTGTCTCGCTTCGCAGCAAGAAATTTCAGTAGACAAGCAGTGAAGTAAGTAGATTTTATTTGGAGGTCTTGAAGGGAAGGAGGGAGAGAGAGTGGAAAGTAATATGCTCAGGAGAGAACGTGGGCTTCGCCAAGGGCGGAGAGAGCCCTGCACACATCCCGGCATTAGACAGGAAAGCATGAAAATACACATCTCAAGAGGGGAGTTGCGGGTGACACGTGCATAGCCACGTGGGCGCAAGCAGCTCATGGACTCTGGCAGCACATTCACACCTTTTCTTTGATCCAGGTGGCCTTTATATGTTTCTTCAACCTGCCCCCATGTGGGACTTCAGGAAATAGTCCGTTGCTAAGGAGGCTACCACGGGAGTTGGGAGTGGTGATGGTCTTCTTTGAAGTTGCTTTCCTGGCCTTTTGTTTCTGCAGGAGCTTCTCTGGGTCTGTTGCTGTCAAAAGGTGAGGGTCTTATGAGGCCTTAGTACCTGGTTTTCTTGTTTTCCGCAAGATTGGCTTATGCCATTGCCTTGTCAGGGGGCCTTGCCTATCCTGCCTACGTCAGCAGGACCCTAAAAGCCAACAAAGGCACTGCAGGGTGAGCCGCCTTTGGATTGAGAGGTGCAGACTGGCAGGTAGTTTGGAGGTAGAGTGGAAGTGAAGGGCCTTCCGGCTGGAGATGCACCATGCAAATGATTATGTGCAAATATGCTGGTTTGCGGGCCACACCTGGTTGTGTTCAGGGCTTATTCTATCGGGGCTCAGAAGGCCATGTAGGATGCCAGGATCAAACCAAGGTCGTACAAGGCAAGTGCTCTACCCGCTGTGCTAACTGTGCAAGTAAGTATTTCTGTCCCCTCACCTAATCTTCTGGTGCCTAAACTCTTCAGACAGCTGCTAAAGAGAGCATCACTGGACCGCATTCCCCAGCTCTGCCTTCCTTTGAGTCCCCTACTTTCTCAACACTGCAGCTTCACCTTTCTTTTTTCTGCTGAAGTCCAAACAGCCCTTGTAGACCTGAGGAACCCCAGCCCAGCTTTTTTTTTTTCTTCCCACTTTTTTGGATCACACCCAGCAATGCTCAGGGGTTACTCCTAGCTTTGCACTTGGGAATTACTCCTGGCAGTGCTCGGGACCATATGGGATCGAACCCAGGTCGGCTGCATGCAAGGCAAACGCACTACCCGCTGTGCTATCGCGCCAACCCCGCCCCAGCCCATCTTTACAGAGTAAATGTGTTGCTGTGCCTGAAACTCACTGCACTTTCCCAGCTTGCTTCCTTTGTTCAGATCCTTTTGCCTGGAATTGTCTTCCTCTTTTGCTTTTCAAGATTACATCCCCATCTGGATTCCTCTTCAGTGACCTTTGTGCCATGAGCTGTCAGGAGGCAGGCTTTTAACCCGACACCTTTGACACCCTCCCTTTTGGCCTGTTTCTCGGTGTTAGAGACATATGTGACAGCCACCATCAAGTTCAGTGCTCTGAGTCACACCCATGAAGGTTGGAAAGGGCTTAAGCCGGAACCAGCCTTTCTCTCCACGAATAATAAACCTCAGGAAACTGCTGTTTTGCTTATCTATCATTTAAGAGTGAAGGGGACCAGAGTGCTGAAATGATGGTAGTGTGTTGGCTTCACATACAGCAGGCCACGGTTCCATTCACCCCACATGGTCCCACCAACCTACCAGGAATGGTTCCTGAGTGCAGAGCCAGGAGGAAGTCTTGAGCATTTTGCTGGGTTGAGGCTGCAAAACAACAACAGAAGAATTTGGAAATGAAAATAAAACCACATACTCGGGTCTGGAAAAGCACTTCACTCGCGCCAGTGTTCTCAAGCTGAAGCTTTGATTCTCTTCCTCACCCACGGCACCAGGCGTCAGTGCTGAAGGTCCAGGAAGTGCCTCCTAGCCTTGGCCCCTGTGTTCACTGCTCTGACCACAGAGCACTGACTGATCACTTGTTCTGGTCCTACCGCGCAGCCGTCACATGGCAGGGAGTGAAGTTGGGACTTTCAGCCTGCCCTCCCAAGGACAGGAAGGGGATGCTCGAAGAGATGGAGCAGAGAAAAGAGCAAAAATTAAGAAGGGCTGGAGCGTTAGTACAGAGGGTAGGGTGTTTGCCTTGCATGCAGCCGACCCGGATTCGATCCCCGGCATTCCATATGGTCCCCTGGGCACTGCCAGGAGTAACCCCTGTGCATCTTTGGGTGTACCTAAAAAGCCAAAAATAAATTTTTCTTCCAAATTTTATTTTATTAAAGCACAGTGGGTTACAAAGTTATTCATAGTTAGGTATTTGACATACAACGTGCCATTACTAATCCTGCCACCAGTATCAACTTTACTCCACCAGTGTTTTCAGATTTCCTCTCTTATGCTCCCACCCCAACTCCAGTCCCAGGCTGCCATCCTCACAGGCAACTTTCACGTTTGGTTATTAAAGTTTGGGCCCTGTGATTTCAATGTTGCTGACTCTGTGGTTTGGATATTCAGCTCTGTCATTCCTTAATACCACTGATGTACTTGAATCCTTATGGCCCCTGTCCTTCATTGCTTCTCATCTATCTTTCCTCCCTTTCCCCTTCATTTTTCTTTCCTTCTCCCTATACTCGGGCCAAGGGGGATCTAGGCAACCCCTCTCCCCCCGACGGCCGCCCCCTTTAAACCATTGCATTTCCTAGTCCAGTAACTCTAAATCCCACATAATAGTGATGTCATCCTGGGCTTGTCCTTCTTCTGACTTCCTTCATGTGTCATTTGTTTCTCCCCGCCCTCCAGCTTTTTTAATTATTAATATTATTATTAGTGAAACACCAGGAGGTACAGTTGTAGACTTACAAACTTTCGTGAATAAAAATTTTTTTAAAAAGGAGGAATGAAGGAATTTTCCAAACTAGATTAGTGTTCAATTGGGACGCTGATTAGAGTGACCCTCTTAGCTTCTACTGCCATCCAGTCTCCTCAGAAGGAAAGTGGGGGGAAGGGGGCTCTCTGGCTCTGATAAAGTTGTGAAAAGGAACTGGGTGTTGAAGATTGGGTCTCCTCTCTGGATTTTTTTTTTCAGCCTGGAAATAGGCATTTTGATTGCTTAATTGTGCCAGTGGATCTCCATGGGGGCAAAGTTTGTTGTATGTGACATAGGTACTCTCTGGAGAAATGATCAAGATTGATTGGCACGACACGCACCTAGAGGTAGAGGCCAGTGGTGTTACTGAGCTGTGGAGGACAGTCCACATTACGGGTTCAGATGTCTGTGGTGCGACATGTGAGAAATTTCAGTAGCAGAAGTAGGTGAACTGCCCCATTCCGGGATGAAGTGTCAGCGATCACTTACCTTCAGTTAGCCCAAGAGATTTTGCTCTCGGGGCCGGAGCAATAGTACAGTGGGCGTTGCCTTGCACATGGCCAACCCAGGTTCAATTCCCAGCATCCCATATTGTCTCCCAAGCACTTCCAGGAGTAATTTCTGAGTTCAGAGCCAGGAGTAACCCCTGAGCATCGCTGGGTGTAACCCCCCCCCCAAAAAAAGATATTTTGATCTCTTTCTCAGATTTGTGTCTAGCAATTTTGAACTTGGACAGAAGAAAGGAAAATGTTAATTAGGAAAAGAACCCCTATAGAATTTGCATTTAGGCGCCATATTGGTATAAGTTAAATTCAACTGCAAGTAATAAAACACCCAAATAACTTTTTTGGGGGGATGGGGCAAGATTCTCCCAAAATTATTTTTCACATTTAGGAAGTCCTGAGGTTGTGTTCAATTGGTATGGTTACTCCAATAAGTCAGGGACTAAGACTTCCAAGTAGTTCTTCCTTCATGCTTGGCTACTGTTCCCAAAGTCACTTCAAAATCCGAGCTGCTAGAGCCCTAGCCATTATGTAGGGCAGCCATTATTGCAGAAGGGCAGGTTAGAGATAAGCAGTAACGTAGATATACCTTGGAGGAAAACCAAGATCTGATTTTCCTCCAAGACTGGATGTCGTGAGACCACTTGTCGTTTCTGACCACTTTGCTATGAGAAGGGAAGCGTTGGAACAACAATTTGTGGCTCTCACGTCCTTTCCTGCAGAAGCAACCCAGATTGCCCTGCGTTGGGATGATGCACAACCCCAGTGTCTCCTGGTCCTGGATGGTAAGGGACTGTGATAGAGCCTCTTCCAGACTTGGTGCCGTCTGAAATGCAACAAATTAGCATTTCTTTAGGGTTAATATGTGACTGCTATATAACCAAGCCTAAATGTGTTTCAGGGTCAAGTCCATGAGGAAAAGAATGATGGCGGTCAAAACAGCCTCACCATAGACACTGGTGGAGAGATGGGTGTTTGATCATTGTATAATTGAAACCCAAGCACAAAAATTTGTAAATCTACAACTATACCTCATGGTGTTTCACTAATAAAAATTTCAAACAAACAACAACAACAACAACAAAAAAGAGCCCCACCAGCTGGGATAGAGAAGAGACCACTAAGGATATGTTATGCTTGGAGGGCTCGCTCAAGATGGTAGATGTGTGTTGAAAGTAGACTATGGACCAAACATGATGGCCGCTTCGCACCTGTATTGCTAACCATAATACCCAAAGAGAGAGAGAGAGAGAGAGAGAGAGAGAGAGAGAGAGGTAATGTGCTTGCCACAGAGACCAGGGGGGTAGGGGTGGGAGGGATACTGGGAACTTTGGTGGTGGAGAATGGGCACTGGTGGAGGGATGGGTACTTGAACATTGTATGACTGAAACATAATCATGCAAGTTTGTAAGTCTGTAACTGTATCTCACTGTGATTCATTAAACAAACAAACAAAAACCAGCCTCACACCAGACAGGTGTTGTAAGCTCCTTAGACACACTCTCAACATAGGAGCCGCTGTGTTGACTGTTAATGGCCGTCTAGCAAGCTTATGTGATGACTGCCATCTGGTGGAGAAGTTGCTCAGATGTCTCCACTCACATTCAATCCCACAGATGTGGCTCCAGAGAGGCATTGACTTTAAAATGAAATTTGCCTCTGTTGTTGAGAGTAAATATACCCCAAGTATTGCATAGGAAAATCTAAGTGGAGTCGCCTGGGAAGCAAGAAATTACAGCTGTTCATTAAATAGATCAGCTGGAGGTCTGGAGAGAGCTCACTGGGCTGGAGCACAGACTTTGCAGAAAATCCCGCTCTGTCCTTCTGGGGCACCACCAGAAGCAAGAGAAACCCTTGATCACTGAGCCTGGAATAGCGCATGGAAGAGGGGATGAGGGGATTATATTCCTGGCTTGATTGATTTTTCTTTTCTCACTATTACCTAGCAGTTTGCAGAGGTCTTGAGTGTCAAATTGCCCCCACTAAAGGCATTACAGCTTCTGACTGGTATGCAGCTGATCTCGGTTCGATCCTTGTCAAGCACGATGTATTCCCCTGAGCACTGCCTCTGAGTGTAGAGCCAGGAATAAGTCCTGATCATTGTCAGCTGTGGCCCCAACCTAGAACATGCCAACTTAAAGTCCCCTGTAGTTCTCATCAGCTACGATGCAGAACTGCCACCTGAGCCCCAGATAACCTTGACCCGGCGCAGGCATTGTGGTTTGTGCTAATCAAGTCACTTTCAACTCTGAACCACAGGTGGTACGCATGGGCAAGGGTGTGTGAAGCAGGAGTTGACTGGGTAGAAATGGTGTCTTAGAGGTTTGTACTCTAATATGATTTGAAGTACAGTCATAAAGATACAACACTGGGAACCGTCTTCCTCCTCATGTTCATCTCCATTCTCCTTCACTGGGAAAATAAGAATTTGCTGGGGGTGATTTGCAGCTCCCCAGTCTTCTGTCTCCTGCATGATTTTTTTTTCATCTTGCCCTGAGGGGAAAGTGAGTCTGTATCTCCTGAAACCACAGTAGAAGGAGGTAAAAAGTTATTCGTTAAAACCTGGGAGTGGAATCTACAAAGGTAACAACTTCAACTGTTTCCACTGCCCTGAAAAGAAGCCAAGAATGCAGCCCACTGATCTTCAAGCTGAACGGGTTCCAACACGACCACTAAGCTCATAAGTGAAGTGGTGCTGTGGTTAGCTTGGACGGGCTCCCAAGCTATCATGCAATATTTCAGGATCCAAGCAGAGGTGCTGTGTAGGCGGAAAGAGAAGAAAACCATCCAGCACAGTATCACTTTGGTAACTGAGTTACTTCGTAAGTTTCCTCTAGAATTCATTCCCAAAGGCAAGTGGAAATCCTGGAAAACTAACTAGCATAAGCAAAATGGATGGGGGAAAATATTTTCCTCTCCAGACACAGTTGCATGTGGCTTGTTTGTTTCATTGGGCCTTCAGTTTCCCATTATCGGTTTGTTTTTAAAGAGCGAAATCTGGAAAGATAGTACAACGGATAGGATATTTGCTTGCACAGGGCTTCAGACACTCCATATAATACCCTGAGCACAGAGCCAGGAGCCATGAGTGAGTGGGGGGATGGGGGGAGAGATAGAGAGAGGAGAAAACAATGCCAAAGTATAAATTTTACTTAACATTTATTAAGATTTTATTCTGTCTTATTTCCCCCAGGAATCAATAAGCCTCCTTTCAAAGCATCACATTTTTTTTTCTTTTTATGCTAAAAAAGTGTATCGCAGGGCTAAGGATGTAACTGTGCAATAGAACACTTAATCTTGCTTGAGGTCCTGGGTTCCATTTCCAGCAGCATGAAGAAAATAAATGTGGGGGCTGGAGCGATAGTACAGCGGGTAGGGCATTTGCCTTGCATGTGGCCGACCCGGGTTCAAATACCAGCATCCCATATGGTCCCCTGAGCACCGCCAGGAGTAATTCCTGAGTGCAGAGCCAGGAGTAAGCCCTGAGCATTGCCGGGTGTGACCCAAAAAGCAAAAGAAAGAAAGAAAGAAAGAAAGAAAGAAAGAAAGAAAGAAAGAAAGAAAGAAAGAAAGAAAAAGGAAGAAAGAAAGAAAGAAAATAAATGTATAGAGATTCTGGAATCT